TATTGTAGCATTTAACAGTTACGTTAAATTAGACTTACAAAGAAAGATAATATGATATTAAATGTGTACAACTTCTAAATTATAATTCACTGATTTTTAAATTATAACTTATTTCTTCTATATCTTTTTGTATTTATAATTTTCATTCTTAATAACTTACAATTTTCATATTTCAGTTTTATTGTACAAATCAAAAAAGACAAAACGTAAAATAACAGAAACGTTAGATCAATCAAATGAAAAATATATAAAACTAAAAGAAGAAAATGTTCAATTAAAAGCAATGATTGCGATAATTAAATAAATTCCATTGTAAATTGTGAAAATTAAAGTTATATATTTTCTAAACTACAAAAAGGCTGTAAGTGTCAGTTTCTTCCAAGTCCTTTGTAGATCCACGAACCGTGCCGTGCGATACCGGCACAGCAGAAAAAAAATTAAGACCAAATATATTTATTAATAAAAACGTTTGAACAAATTAAAAATAAAAGACAATTTTTACAATTTTATAAAAACATGGACAAATATCAATGAAATATCAGGGCTTTAGTCAAACACGGTTTGACTAAAATACATAAAAACGGAAACCCATTGAAAGTGATTGTATCTTCTATTAATAGTTCATTATATTATCTTTCTCTTTTTTTATATAACATAATTAATGACAGCATACCAAAAGCTTCTAACCATATTAAAGATAGTTTCCATTTAATTGAGAAATTGAATGGAAAAAGGTTTGATTCTCAATATGTTTTAGCTTCGTTAGATGTGGTGTCCCTTTTCACTAATATTTCTGTCGATCTAGCTTTATATAGCATCGATAGGAGATGGGAGTACATCTCAACTAAGACTAACATTTCGAAAAATGAATTTACTTTTGCTGTTAAATTTATTTTAGATTCTACCTTTTTTGCTTTTAATAATAAAATTTACAAACGAGTATTTGGTACTCCAATGGGTTCACCGTTATCACCAATTATTGCAGACATTGTTATGCAAGATCTGGAAAAAATAGCAATTAATAGATTATCAGTATAGCCATTGTTTTATTTCAGATATGCTGATGATGTTATTCTCGCGCTTCCATCTAACGATATAAATGATGCTTTGAATACTTTTAACTCTTTACATACAAGATTACAATTTACTTTGGAGGTTGGTTCGGAAGACAGATTAAGTTTTTTAGACACAACACTTATCATAGATAATCATAGAATTATATTCGACATTTATCACAAAAAGACATTCTCTGGAAGGTTCCATAATTTTTATTCCAATCATCCTCTTTGCCACAAAAAAGGCACAATTATCAGCTTCATAGATAAAATTATCTTATTATCACATCCTTGGTTCCATAAATCGGATATTAGAAGGAATACTGGTTTTCCTACTGTCATAACCGATCATCGTATCAATTTAGACCACTATTTTAAATGAGATGATGTGAGAATTTTAGATTGCGAGTCTTCTTATAACAAGAGATTAGTATCTGAAATACCTTATGTCAAATCTATCTCAGAGAGTTTTCTTCCAATTTCCAGTATGTTTTATTGTAAACTAGCTTTTACCATTCCTAACACATTAAAAAGCCTCATTAAGAGAGGGAAAGACAAGTTGGAATTGTTGTCCAACCAAAACGTTGTATATAAAATTTCCTGCGATGATTGTGAGGCGAGCTACGTTGGTCAAACCAAAAGAAAATTGAGTACGAGATTACATGA